ATCAAATTCAAGTCAATCGAATAAAATATTTTGAGCATATTTAAATTCGATTTACAAATCTGTTTTTCGTTATGAAACTCGTAATGAGCGATTATGGGGAGGTGTGAGCAAACCACCCCCAAACATTTAAAAATTGAAAATTTGGCAAATTATTTCTAATTTTGTTACTAACAAAAGTTATGTTGAATTAATTAAATGATTTGCCAATAAAACGGGATAGTTTATAGCAGATAACTATTGGAATAAAAACATTAGATAATTTCTTTAGTTTAATATTTTTATTCCAATAGTCATCGAATAATAATAATTGCCTTTCTAAACCGTCTTTATAAATTAAATAATGTAAAGGCAACAAATGACAAGTATTTATTACAATTAGCAAAAATATATTAAGTTACATCTCAAGTGCCTTATCATCGGGATAACTTGTAACGGGGATAAAAAAAAAAATTAACGTAAAAAGGAAGTTATGGGCAAAGGGACAATTCACAGAGATAATTTAAAGAAAGAATAAAAATAAAAAATTAAATTTTTAGTGATAATTGCCCTACTAAACCATATATTTTTATTAACTGAAAAATATAAAGGCAATAAAGGCGAAATATTCATTACTGTAAGTGAAATCAGCAAAAAAATTTAAGTTTTGTCTCAAATATGCTGTCTGCTATCAGTGTTCCCCAACCTTTTTAACACCGCGGACCTGTCAACGTTTGATAATTTTACCGCGGCCCTCTGGGGGGGGGGGCGCTGAATGTTTATATCTTAGATTATTTTGATTTATTAATTTTAATTTAACGGTATTTAAACATGCCTTCAAAATAAAATAAAGTTACACCAAAGAATAAATATAAAGTGATTTAACATTTTAACTTACTAGAACGTTAAATCAGTGAGAATACTGAGATTGTTTCTTTTCGATGAGACTGTTCCATCTGGGGGGTAATCGGAGACAATGGCACCCGAAGTGTGTTGCTTATGTCCAGTTTATTCCGTTGCTTTGTAAATTTCCAATGTAAATTTCGCGCCGCGCTTTTGTGTTTTATTCATGATATTTACAGTTATGATGATGGATATTTTTGAAAAAGAAAACAGTTGCCGTGGTTTTCTTTTCTTTTTTTTACATTTTAAAACATTAAAAAATTTATGTCACTACCTTCGGGGGGCCATTTTTTATAAATAAATAAAATTTTAATGGAACACAGATATTTTTAATTTGGGGTATAAACCTAGGAATTTAAATTCAGTTTCAATGAAATAGGCGGCCCGGTACCATTTGATCCACGAACCGGTACCTGTCCACGGACCGGGGATTGGGAAACACTGTGCTAGATAGCTTGTAACAGCGAGCTAAAAATGGAGATTTGCAATATGAAAATGGAAGTTATGGACTAAATTCACAACTATAATTTAGTCTATCTTAAATAATCGACTTAAGGTTGCATTTTTTTTTTCTTCAGAAAAACCTTTAAGACTAAGAAAACTTATAAGAATGTGTGTAGAAAATGTACAAGGAGTTCGATAGAATAAAAAATAACATTCGATAACAAGTTTGAGAGTTATTAACTCCTAAACTTGTGGTTAAAAAGTATCATGCTGGCAGCAGTATTGTAACTATAGAGTTTCCATTTTCCGTTTATGAACTTAACTACAGTATTTTTTCTACATTCCTTTTTTTTTTTCAAAAGTTATTGTAGTGCTTTCTTCCCGAATTTGTTTCATAGATTTTTGCTTAAAATATTAATTTAAATTCACTGTGGTCGTTAAATTTATCTCGCCGAAAAATCTCTATCTCAAATGCTTGACTTGATGTCAAAGATAACGAAGAAAAGTTCGAGGAAGAGATTAGATGTTGGCAGAAATTTTTTTTAACATTTATATCGATATTTTAAAAAATTTAAAAGAATCAAGAGAGAGAAAAGTCGTTTCCAATTTAAGCTGTTATACAATCTAAGGTTATCGTTTATATTGTTAACAAGTAAATTTACTTCTCATTTATTATCTCTTATTGGGACACGCGTTCTGCATTCCTGCTGTTAAATATTTTATTTTCAAACACAAATGATTATTTTAAAATCCAAGTACCCGTGCTGTCAGCTAACCACTCTGCGATCTGGATCTAAACTAGTAGAATCACAAATGATTTAATTAAAAATTTGATTTTCTACATTTACAAAACATAACAATCAATTAAAAACATATTCATTTATTACGTCAAATTTAAAATACATAAAAAACAAATTTCATCCTTCAAAACCAAAAGCCAGTATCGTTCTATTCTAAAAAAAATTTATTTTACGTTTTTGTCATTGGTGTTGCATGTTTCATTATTTTTCTTCCATTTGTAAAAAATTCTTGACAAGTCTATTTCGTAACGATTAACATAATAAAAAATGATCTGACATAAAATTATAATAAATTTATAAGGAACAGTGGTGTCTCAGAGGATAGAGCACTCACCTCCCAATTAGGTGAATCGGAATCGAATCCCAAATTATGGCTGGTCGATACGAATTCTGCTACCGACCACAGTGCTGACATAAAATATCCTTAGTAGTAGATGTATCATGGGACAGAGTCCCCTTATTGTTAGAACAACCATGAGAGGTTTTCGTAGTTTTCCTCACCAAGTAAACCCAAACGCGGGTTAGTTCCATCAAAAAGTCTTCCGCGAAGGTAAATTTCTCCCAATACTTAATCCAGGAATTTATGTCGTCTGGATTGGGTTCAAAATTCAAGACTACGAAATTGAAAATTGGTAGTCGTAAACTCGAAATTGAGTCAGCTGTTCAACGATGGTTATAAAATAAAATAATTATATACCTTATAAACATATTTATAAATAAAATTAAAGATGAATCAGAGGCAACCACGTTGTTCGCTGAACAGAGCGAGTAGGGGGTGGAGTCTCCAAGTAGGAATAAAAATAGAAAATAAAAGTTTTTCGTGATAATTGCCTTTCCAAACTGTAACAAGACAAAGGGAAATATTTATTTGAATTTGCAGAAAAAATCAAAGTTACGCACAGTTCATCGGAATAGTTAGCAATAAGATGTATTGTTATAGTAGTGTATAATTTTGCTCACACAAAATGAGTATCAATTTGTAATACCAGTACTTAGGTTTGAAAATTTCACTCCGTTCTCACAAACTACTTAATCAACAATTGACTAATTTTTAATCTGAGTAGTTCAGATTAAGTTACTCCAACTGCATGTTTAACAGCTAGTTTAAGAAATAAATTCTTTCACACGAAAATAATAGACTGGGAATCAGGTGAAAAACCGATATTAAATGCTTTATCGGTCATGTCCATTTAGAAAAAGACACGTTTACTTCCGACACGTGTTCCAAAAAACATTTACTTATTCCCTGTGACTTTACATTATTAGATTACGTAAAATACATTTTTTTCAATGCCTACAAGGGTTTTGACTACGTCATTCGGGTAGTAGATTTCCTAACCACTGTCTCATGAGCAAACGTGCCCCCACAGTACAAATAAACAGATACTACAGAGAATTGAAAGGAAGAACATCCATGCCTTATCCGGGCCTCGAGCCCGGGACTTTTCATGGCTTGAGTTCATCTCCCTGACCGCCATACAAGCCGGTCGGAACAAAATACATATTTAGAAGTTTTACTCACAAAAAGTGAAATTAAGCATACTCGAACTAGTTCAAAAGATCCACCAAAATTGATTATAGCTTATGTTTCATAGTATACAATAGCAATTGTTTGTATGAGCCTGCTACTTTGAAAGACAACTTATTTTTTTATTTAATTTTCAGATGAATCATCACTTAAAAAGATTCTATATCGCGGGAGAAACATTTCATAGCAGATTCTTTTTCACCTATATTGGTATTTTTTGAAGTTTAAGGAAAAATGAGTTCCGGTAACCATTCTCAACCTTGTTGCATAATTTTCATTTAACACATTTTTCATAATTTTTTCATTGCTTTGTATTAGTTTAAATTAAAATAAGTGAAAAATATTATATTTAGCGTTTTAATAATTTATTGTTATGAAATACAGCATGAAACATTGGTGTCTTCTTCCACATTTAAGGTAAAATCTTTCAAACACGGCTCACTTTCAAACAATAGAGTCAGGTGGGGTAAAGTGGACATAAAATTAAGCGTTGTTTAAAGAAGGTTCTGAAAACAAACCCATAAATTAATTTTATTAAAAATTTTAATGCATTTTATATACATTGGATTCGCATAGATTAAATATAAAGCTGATAGGGTTCAGGATTCAGCTGTTTATCAAATAACGGGAAGACTTTGCTGGTCCTGTGATTTTGAAAGACAATTCAAAGGCCTGGATGTATATTTTTACCTGCGTCTTTATAAGGCTGCACATCTTGTCACATCATAATCAACTGAAGCATTTTTACTCTGTTTCCATCAGTTAGTTACCTTAGATTGTATTCAGCGGTAATGGGAATAATTTTACAGGGAGTGCAAAGGTACTCTCTTGCAACGATTTTAAAGAGGTTTTTGTTAAGACCCTTTTCTTGTTATCATTTCCAATGGTCACAATGTCACCCACTTTCAATGATTGAAAGGTGTTCTTTTTCTGCCTCGTACACAGTGCTCCTAAATATTCTTGTCGAAACCTTACTCGGAAAGCTTCTCCAATTGTTTGTGGGTATCGTATTCTCATTCTCAGATGATTGGAATCAGTTTGAGTTTCGATGTCCGGAACAAAGCTGGGTTTTTATCTCTTTTGGGAAGTCTGCTAGTGGTTTAAGAGCAGTGAGACTGGTGTCAGAACACACAGTTGTCAGAGGTCTCTCTTTCAAAATGGCCTCACAGTTGGACAAAGCTGTTTACATTTCTTCATATGTTAAACTCGCTCGATCTAAGGTTTTCATCAACAGACCTTTCATCATTCCAACAAGCCTTTCCTAGAAGCATCCCCACCAGGGGGCACTAGGAGATATGAATTTCCAAGTAATTTGCGTCTGATGGTGCAAGATAGATGCAAGAGAATACCTTTTCACTCCCTGCAAAATTCGTTCCATTATCGCTGAATACAATCGAAGGTTTTCCTCTTCTAGCAACAAATTGATGGAGACAGTGTAAAAATGCTTCAGTTGATAGTGATGTGATAAGATGTGTAGCTCTATATACGGCACAGATAAAAACACATATCCAGGCCTTTGACTTGTCTTTCAGAACAACAGAACCAGCAAAGTCCACACCAGTTACTTGGAAAACAGCTGCATCTTGAACCCTATCAGCTTCATATTTAATCTATATAAATGCAATGTATGGAGAGTGCATTAAAATTTTTAGTAAAATTAATTTAATGTTTTGGTTTTAGAGCCTTCTTTAAAAAACGCTTAATTTTATATCCACTTTACCCCTCCTGACCCTAATGTTTCAAAGTGTGCCGTGTGTTCCGTGTTCAAATCAACATCAAGGTAGGTTCAGTGGTTTTGTGTCATTCACTGGCTTTGATAGTCGACCTGCTACTTGTAATAAGTATCTTTTAGTTTCCTTTCCTTTGGAGAGAAAGGCTTCCAGATTTTTAAAATCAAAATAAAGTGTATCAGTTTCCTCATTCCAGCCAACTCCTAGGACCTTTGAAGTTATCAAGTTAGTGTCCAGTGCACTTCCAGATTCATCAACTTCAAAATTCAAATCCTTCAATTCTTGGGTAAGTTCAGGTGAGTTACTTCTCCATTTTCGAAGGTCCATACTAGCATCTTTAAAAATCTGTTCACTTTCTTTACAAGTTTTCAACGCTTGTTGAGCATTGTCTTCTCCACAAAGTAAATCATCGACATACAAAGACTGGTTCAGATGCTTGTAAGTCGACGGAAATGTGTCCATGCATTTTTTCAGATGATGTTTAATTGTAGTTGCTAGTAGGAAAGGGCTTGATTTCGCTCCAAACAAAACTCTGCACATTCGGAACACGTCAAACTCCTTGTTTTCCAAATCAAAATTTTCTGGATCATCATCCCAGAAAAATCTTGTAAAGTTTCTTTCACATTCATTAATTTCAATCATCAAAAAGACCATTTTAATATCTGCTATGAAAGCAATCGGGTTTTTCCTGAATTTGATCAAAAAACTAAATAAGTTTGGTATGAAATTAAGACCGGTGCGTAGACATTCATTCAAACTTAACTGTCCTTTATCATGTGATCCTACATCAAATACAATCCGTACTTTGCTTGTAGTCTTATCAGTACGAATCACTGCTCTATGTGGTAGATAAAATATGTTTTTTTGCGAATTCTCTTCTTCTACTGGAATGCGTTCAATGATATTCTCGGAAAGATAGTTCTTTAACATTGAGCTATATTCACTAAATAAAGTAGAATCATTTCTTAAAGTTGATCTTAATTTCATAAATCTCTTCTTTGCCACTTGTTCATTATTTTCTAACAACGATTTCATATGTGGTTTCCAGTGAAATTTGGCTTTATAGCGTTTATTTTCATATGAAATTCCAGCTTCAAATTCGGACATTATATCGTTGTCATTAATTTTGTCATCAGATATCTCTGCCTCAATTCCTAAATTTTCCAAATCCCTAAATTCACTAAGTCGTTTGGAAATGATCGACTCATTAACAATAACACTCATTGTAAATAATTCCTCGCAATTTGTGCTCCCCCCTTGTAAAGACCATCCCCACAACGTTTCGACTGCTACTAAGTTTTTTTTTAATCGCATAATTCGTTCAGTAACTACTTCATAGTTGTAGTCCCCACCCAAGAGAACTGATATTTCTTTATCATTAAACTCATAACAATCAGCTAATTGTACATTTCTAAAGTGTCTAAATTTTTTATCAATGTTTTCAGGAGGGGTCGGTAAATGTGAGGCCGTTATATTATCTGTTTTAATAGCTTCAATTTCGATGAATAAATTTCGATGAATAAATTTGGATCCAGTCTATTTTGCAATTTAATTTTCACGACATTATATGTTTTCCCTTTGTTTTCATAACCGCCAAATGTGCAAATTGAAATACTTTCTTCTCTGATTATAGGAAAGTAAAATTTTTTGACAAGGGACGACAATACAAAGCTACGCTGACTCCCATTATCCAGGAAAACGCGGCATATTTCCTTTTTATTTTCATCCCCAATCAATGCAGCGCGTGTATGTAACAAAATGCTATCGGATTTAGTATTATTAGCTTTCGTTTTAAAAACTGCCGAAACGACGCTATCTGTTACATTTTTCTGATTAGGACTTCGAATCATTTCGTTTCCGAAAACATATTGAAATATGGTGGGACCTCCCACAAAAGGAACAGTTTTCTTTAATCGAACATTCTGCAACAGGATGACGAGATTTAAGGCGTAAAAAACATCCTTTCTTTTTTAAAATATATCTCTTTACCTTAACATTAAATGTATAACACGATTCTAATTTATGTGATTTGTTGCAGAATAAGCATTTCTCATTGCCTGGCACCGATGAGAGGCTTGCTGAGATGAGATCATAGAAAAAGTGTTTTCTTTTTTCAAGGGCATGCCTGTGCTATTACGTTTAACAAACCCATAATTCTTATTTTTTAATCTTTCTTGTGGGCGAAGGAAATAAGATGGCGATGGTTTATAATTATTTATTTGAAGTGATCGTTCGCGGTTCCGTATTTCTGAATTAAGAAATACTATTAATAGAGCACTTAAATCAAATTCCTTGTCATTTTAGGATCGATTACATTGTAAAACAAATTCTGAAGGATTTAATTTCATTAAAATGGGTGTCAATAAACTGGTATAAGTATCTCCTTTTATACCCAAGCTTTCTAAACTGCGTATCTGTGTTTCCGCGTTGTCATATAAATTTCTAAGACTCATAACATCATTAGGATTTTTGACAGGCGATAAGTTTAATTAATCACTCAAATGAGAGTTGATTAACATGTTTTTGTTCTTAAATCTATCCTTTAATAAATCTAGGGCTCTATCGTAATTCTCATCAGAAACTGCAAATCCGTTAATGCATGCAAGAGCATTTCCACATAAATACGATTTCAATTTATTAAATCTATCAACTTTGCTTAATTTTATATTATTATGAATACAACTTTCAAATAAATTGTAAAAATCTAACCATCCTGCATAATTTCCCGCATATTTATTTATATTTAATTTAGGTAGATTTATGTTCATGCATTCAGAATTATTTGAAGCATTTGTTTCAGAGGTACTTGAAACTGTTTCAGCTGGGATAGAATTCATTTTCTTTATTTTTAAATAAAGTTTCGTTTTCCAAAAAAATTTTTTTCTTCAGAAGTTTCAATATCTTCAGAAATTGTATCTTCAGACAAAAGATCTGCAATTTCATCATTAAAAAAATTCAATTTGCTTTCTTTTTCATTCAAATGAGCTAAAAAAAAGCTTCAAATTGTTCCAGTAATTCTGTTTCGTCATTAATCGATTCTACAATTTTATTAATCAATTTTGTCAGTGTTGTTCGTACAGCGGTACGCTTCTTTTTCAATTTTGTAATATTTTCTGCCATATTTATATCTATGCAGGTAATTCAGTTACAATGTAAATAATAAAATTCTTACCTAGATATTTCGCTCGCCGATGACATCAAATCAATCAAATCAGTTTAAATTCAATTCAGCTTCCTTTGACCGATTACATCATAAATGTTCCGTGTTCAAATCAACATCAAGGTAGGTTCAATGGTTTTGTATCATGAGTTCAAAATAATTTATTGGCAAATCAAATCAAATATAACGAAACAAATATTTAATAACGAAAAAAGAATTAATACAACTTGACACTTCCGTGTCTACGCGTTCACTGCTTGTTGATGCGCTCGCAGCGCCCTCTCAGTGAGGAGGTTTTACCACCGTGTTTGGAACATATTACCTTTAATGCAGAAAAATACACCAGTGATTCATGCTGTATTTTATAACCATAAATTATTAAAACGCTAAATGTAATATTTTTCATTTATTTTGATTTAAAATTTATACAAAACAAAGATGAAAAGCATGAAAAATGTGCTTCACTAAAATTCTGCGACAAAGGGTTGGAAATGGTTACCGGAACTCATTTTTCTTTAAACTTTAAAAAATATCAATACAGGTGAAACAGAATTTGCCATTAAATGTTCTTCCGCGATAAAAAAAAAATCTTTTTAAGTGATGATTTATCGGAAAACTTGATAATAAAAAAAAAGTTGTCTTTCAAAGTGGCATTCAGAAAATCGCGATAAAGATCTAATCCATCTAATATTATAAATAAAATATACTCGCAAATTAATAAATAAATAAAGTAAAATAAATAAAGTCATAGGCTCAAGCTAGGCATTAAATTTGAAACAAAAAATTTAGTTGAGAAAACAAGACTAGATTTTGAAATGTATATGATCATCTAGAATTAGTTCAAAAGATACCTATTATTTATTTTACATATTTATAACGAAATATTTTAAAAACACGCAGTTTTAAAAAAATGAAAAAGTAAATATTTATTATCTCTAAGGAGATACATATATTTAATAATATGATTATAATACATAAATAAAACTAATTACTATGTATAAATTTTCCGCTTTTGATGAAGCAAATTTATCAATAATATCATCAAAGTTGATCATTTCAAATTTTTCTCTTTCCACACTTAAAAATGCTAAGTCACTTAGGCGATCTTGTCCCATCGTTGATCGTAGATATGTCAAAATTAATTTTAATTTGCTGAATGGCCATTCGCAGCTAGCAATTGATACTGAGATAGTCAGGAGTATTTGAAGTGCCACTCTCAGGTTTGGAAAAACATCTTCTCCATACGGGATTATAAAAGTAAGAAATTCTAATGGAGTTTTAAGTTCAATTTCTTTTCTACTGCGGAGTAACATTTTGCAGTCACATACTTCGATAAAGAGTTCTATTCCATTGAAATCTGTATTATAAAATTCCCCCAAATTTTTAAAAAAAATTTTCAAGGTCGTTATCAACATTATCCTTGTTTAATAAATTTTCAACGTCTAGTAGAAATCCAAATTTGAAATTAAGGTCACTTAATCGTGTAAATCCTGTATATATTTCTTGTTGGAGATGATCAAGAACGCTTTTCATAACGCGAGAAATTTCACTTTCTGCGGAAAGACTGACATCTCTAGCCAATTCTCCGGGCATTTTGCGGCGTCTTCTTACACGTATTGTTGCATCAATATCCCATTTTTCACAAAGAGACTTCGCTTTTTCTATTGCCTCTTCACAGAGCTTGTCTCGAATTTCGGCTAGTTCAGTCGCTAATGATTCAAGATCATGGAACGCTTCTCTAAAATTCATTCTAGGATCTTGTAATCTGAGCTGCACACGATCAATCCTTCTTAAGATTTCATATCAGAAATGAACTAAAGTTATAAAACTAAAGGTTAGTATATTTTGCAACAGAATTGTAGCTTCACTTCTGTTGTCACTTGTAGTGGTAGTGTGCTCTGCTAATTTTTCTATTAGTTCTTTTATATTCTCTAGCCCATAGATGATAACGATAACCGCTTGTATTCTGGCGCTCCATCGCGTTTCAGATGTGTGACCTGCCATCACGGCAGCATTATCGTAACATTGTGATCTGCAGTTTGTTAATGAAATTTCATCGTAATTTAATTTCTCTAAAATTGTATTTTCGATCGAGGCTGCATCTTTAGCATGTATTTCAATAAAACTCAAAAAAGATTCTTTGATGGAAACTTTTTTATTGATAAAATCAGCATCTACATACCTAGCGACTTGGGACATTTGTTCTCGATGAGAGATATCAGGAGTTGAATCAAACAAAAGTTCATAATATTTATTTCTTTTGATATCGTTTATTAGTTGATTTCGAACTGTAGATGCTAGAAGATGGATGAATTAATTTTGAATCTGTGGTGACAAATATGAGACAGTTTTTTAGTTTCTGTGGCATGTTTAAGATGATTTCCTAGTAGCGGATCAAACTGAGCTACAGGTCTAAGTAAAGATAATAGGTTTCCTACATTTGTACCATCTTGATGTGCTAGTTTTTCAACATGGCCACGTAGAGGAAGATTTTGTGTAATTAAATACCTCATGCAAGCTAATATTCTTTGCATGAAGAATTTAATTATACAAAATCTTCCTCTACGTGGCCATGTAATATATTTTGCCACCGTTCTTTTTCAGACTGAATATTCGCTTCTAATGATACATCAATTCCCGTTCTACTTATTAATCTTCGTTCTGTTTCCTTCCAAGCCGTAAGTGATTTTCGGTAGTTTTATCTTAATTTTCTATAGAGTTGGTAAACTATCCTTTTTAGTTAAATTTAAAATTAAACTAAGGTAGGTTGTCAAAATTAGCTTTAAGAGACGTCAAAGTCCAATGCTTATTAATGTGATAGTTTTGACAAGCGTAGAAAAAAGTTTAGTTTTAGGTTGTCCCCCAGATAAGCCATATTTACCGTAAATTAAGAGCTTTTTGTTTAATTGAACACTGTTAACAAATTTTTTCATACCCTATTCACTGAATAATAGAATCGTCGAGTAGATGTAGTAAGTAATTTTATTTGTTTTATTACTAACCAAGAATGCCTCGAACTTGAAAGGTAGTAACACAGTAAAATATACTCTATAATTTATGCTAACATTAAACTTATAACACTTAATAACATTTCATTTTTATTCTAAGCAGAGCGCGATGACAATGACGCAAAACTGAAAAATACAGGCACAAAATAATTTAAACGTTAATATTTCGGGTATTTACCTAATTCGTAGCGGAATTCCACAACCTGTCGCAAGTGTCACGGAAAAAAAGTATCCGAAAAGTAACAAATAAAGAATAATTTATTTTTTGAAACAGATAATTCTCAGGCACACAACAAATACGGCGTTTGTATCCTTTCCTAGAAACAGCAAAACGCTGTATTTGTTGTGTGTCTGAGAAGTATCTATATTAAAGAATAGACAATCCTTTAGTTGTTATTTTCCGGATACTTTTTTCCGTGACTGTACACATAAGTACATTAGAGTGTTATTGTTATCGTTTTAAAATAACAAGCGTAAGCTACATTGCGTTTATAGAAACAAAAATAAAGAGTGTTCTGAAAGAAAGAATATTTGTACTTTGTACACTGAACAAACATACAAAAAATTTGTACACTGATGTTTGTACTTTGCACACTGCAAATATTTGGAGATAATATATGTAACCACACAGCGTAGATGCCATAAGGAAGTGCTGACAGACACAGGTCGAGTCAGCCCAGTGGAAAAGACGTGTCATTTCTATTATGAATATATTATTACAGTTTGATTAGTGTTCCTTTTTATTTAAGAATTAACATTTATTATATTTCACCGGCATTAAATTTAAAATATATTTTCCAGAAATAAATTATAATAAAAATTATCCAACAATTTTTTTTGTTTTGCTGACCGTTTGGTGCCCCTTTGTGAGTAGCGCCCGGGGCATGATGCCCCCCCCCTTGCTCCCCCCTCGCTACGCCTCTGCCTTCAGCATTTCAAATTTTAATTCGGTAGTTGCATTTCAGAGGGTGGTTGATCATTCTTAAAGACATTTTTTTACAAGTTCAGCAGTTTGTAGTTCTCGAACTAACAATTGAATCTAATTTTTTTTTCATTTCATCGTACTCCATGTACAATTTTTTTTTTTATTTCATCGTACTCCTTATACACATTTTTATTTCATCGAACTACTTGTACATACTTTTTTTATTTCCTCGCACTCTTTGTGCATTCTTACATGCCGTCACAGTTTCAAATTTCTAAGTCATATAGTTTCTGCTTAGAAAAAAACATAATGTAACGTAAAAGGAAAAAGGGGGAAAATACACAGAAGCACTTAAAATGCCAATAACTTTTTTGAAAAAATGACTAAATTAATTTCGAAAAATCTTAAGTTCATGAACAACAATGCCTTTTTCAGCATATCAAATTTCAACTCTGTAGTTACAATCCAGCCACCGGTAAGGTATTTTTTAACAGTTAATAACTAATAGCTCTCAACACAACAACAAGTAACAAGTTTAACAGTTAATAACTCTCAAACTAATTGTCGAATGTTATTTTTTTTCTATCGTACTCCCTGTACATTTTCTACGCGCATTCTTAATTTAAAGTTCTAAAGTCTTTTATTTAAAACAAGAAATCGCTGTGCAATCATTATCGTTTCACTGCGTTAAACAAACGCAACACAAATCGCAAATCGAAAAAAAAAATTTAAAAAAATAATAAATTTAAAAAAAAAACTTTTAGAATATTTCATATTTTAAAATTTTTTAACTCCGTCATCTGATGTTTTCTGTCCAATAAGAATGCACAGTCAACAGTAAGAAACGGTTTTATGACCATTATCTTTTTGTGTTATGTAGAGAAATTTTTATAATTTATCATGATGATTGCGCATTAGCCAGCTTTAAATTTAAATAGAAGAAAATTTTAAGTAGCAATTTTAAAACCCTAGCAACGAATGCAAGCAATGGTTTTGTCGTAGTTGTAATATTTCAGCCGATTTTAAACTTCGGGGGAGAAATCCTGTAAGTTTTGAAATGTACTTTTCAAAAAAGTAGCAAAATCTTTCCAACTGTTTCTCGATTTTGCTTACTTAAAAAGGTTTCTATTGCTTTTCATTACAGTAATATTTGTATCAACAGTTTTACTGAATCTAAATTGGCATGAATAGGATACAATATGTTCTTGAAAAATCGTTTTGCCTTAAGTACTATATTATTTTTACTGGCTGACTTGCTTTATTTTCTAATGAATAAGATTAGGATGGAATAGCCTGGGTTGGTAGGGCACTGGACCCATGTCCAAGAGTTCGTGGGTACGATCCCCACCCCGGCCGAAATCTCCCCATGTAGTGAAATGGTGATTGTTGCACCTTGAATCTGTCGAGTCGCAAAGTCCTCCATGTTCCCATAACAAATCAATGCCTCTGGGGGTACTGATCCTGGAGTCTTCTTGTCTCCTGGATTGGATCAAAATTACAAAGTTACTGAGTTGAACATTAGTAGTCTTAAACCCAAAATTGGGTCGGCTGTTCAAAGACGGATATAAAAAATATAAAAAATAAAAAATAATGAATAAGATGCGGAAACTTCCTAGAAACGTTTTGACGTAAAAATAATTATCAATTTTGAAGATTCTTTATCTTTTATAGTTTCTATTAAAAGTGTATGTAATTATGATTTTTTTCTTATAGGCATGATATGTTTTTACCATTTTTGTATGTAGATAATGTTTTATGTTTGAAGACTAGATTCTATTTCATTTTTGATAGTGGGATACAGTTTGCTGATTGTGCGTTCTCAATATCGTTTTGTAAAAAGAATTTTAATTTTTTAAAGAACTTCCTCTGTTTTATATTCAGTTTGAAATAATATGTTTTTATCACGGGATTTAATACAAATAATTTTTTTTTATTGAAAACGGAACATTTATTTTATTCTTAATGATTAGGATACAGTTTGTTAATAGTACTTTCAATATCGCTTTGTAAAAAGAATTATAATTTTTGTAAACTTGACACTTGCTCTGTTTTCTGATAAAAGGGATACTTAATTTTATCATCGTTTTTATACAGATAATTTGGCATTATGAAAGACAAAGCATTTGCAATTTTTTTAATTAAAGAGAATTCAATATGTTGATAGTATAATTTTACATCGTTTTAAGAAGAAAAAAAATGAAAGTAAACACTTGCTTTGTTTTCTTATTAAACGGAATTGCTTTGTTTTCTGTTAATGGAATAAGTTTTTACCATCATTTTTATACAGATAATTTTATTTTATGACCGATGCTGAACAGCCGATCTAATTCTGAGTTTACGACTAACAATGCTGAATTCAGTAGAATTGTTACTTTGAACCCAACCCAGAAGACAAGGGAAGTCCTGGAATAAGCATTGGGATAAACTGCCCTTCCTGGAAGACATTTTGTTCGAACGAATCCACATTTGCGTTACGCAAGGAAGAAAAGCACGAAAACCTCTTACAAGGATTCTAAACCCATGATTCGTCTACAGCTGAGGAGTGCGAGCCGGGGGCAGAATTTGTATTGATCAGAAATGGAATCCGAATTAGGAGGCAAGTGCTCTATACCCTGAGTCACCGCTGCTCTACGCAATTATTTTCACATTTTGTAACCGTCGTTCTACAGCCAACTTAATTTTGAGTTTACGACTACCAATAATCAACTCTGTAGCCTTGTAATTTTAAACTCAATCCAGAAGACAAGGGTACTCCAGAATCAATTATTAGGAGAAATTTTACCTGCGTAAAGGACTTTTGGATGGAATTGACCCGCATTTAAGATACACGGATAGGAAAACCACGAAAACCACCCATGGTTAGCCTGATGGCAAAACTCTAACCCATGATCCGTCTACCGCTAACGATATTTTACGTGTGGTCGGGAGCAGAACTCGGATCGAACAGCTAACGCTAAGATTCAAACCCGGGTTATCTCATTGGGAGGCGATTGCTCTATATCCTAAAACACCGCTGTTCTAGACGGTTAAATTGCTATTTTTAAGGATTGCGGTTATTTAATTTATTTTTTGAATGGAATACGGCATGTCACGATGCTGGATTTAGGGAAAAAAATTCGCTTGTTGACCGTCTGAAGAATTTGAACAATTTTAACATTGTAATGTATTATACATTCAATTCATATTATACATATTTCAATATTATACATTATGCATTTTAATTCTGAGAGCATTGAAATTTTTTTTGTTAGAATTTATTTAAAAGGAAATTTTGTGTCCCTTGATATGATAAAAAAAAAACATTTATTTTCCTCAATGTTTATTTTTCATTTATTTATTTATTTACTAATTTATTTGTTTTTTAATGAATCTATTTTTGATATAATGAGTAAGAGAATTTCCTTTAAAAAAAATTTATAATTTTTTTCATTTTTACAACAATTTGTAATTGAAAGCATTTAGTTCTCTGCAAATATCTTACTTACTGATAAAAAATTTAAGATCATTGATTAAATTAAATAAAGATTTTTAAATTAAGATTACTGATTAAAAAAATTAGCACTTTGAACACTAATGTTTATATAAACATTACCATATTTGCTGTCAACGTGTCTATATATGAGTACGGTTCTTCGTTAATAAACCTAAGTTGCATGTGGCCCTTCACTAAAAACTTTGAGCACCCCTACCTAATATACATTATTTTCTCTGACTATTGTTCACCCAGACTTGCAAAAAAACATTTTTTTTAATTCTTTTAATTTTGAAAACTGATTTTTATGATATATCAGACGACATTTCTGTATATCTTGATTTTCACCCCACCATTCCTAGGGGAAATCTTTAACCTTGTTACTCACTAACTGTACCTTAATTTGCACGAAAAGAGTCATGATTAGTCGAGAAAAGGAACATTTAATCGCGCACTACACCCTAACATCTTGGAATTTTTCCTCATCTCTTCTGCAATATATTTTAAGAAAGCTAGTAATATTTCATTTGAAAAATTTCTTAACTTTTCTTTCGTTTGCTTCCGTTGAAATAACATTTTCCTGCAGTTTCGCTTTAACTAAAATCAGAAACTGATCACATAGGTATTTAAAATACTCACCATCTTTTTTCGAAAAGAAGGATTTGTGTCATCGTAGTCTGTAGCATGACAGCTTAGGGTGGGTTCTCATTTGAAGAGATTTCCAAGCGAACCTCGCTTTAACCCCTTCCTTCTCGCTGCCGTGAAAATGACGGTGTGAGGTTTCGCCCTCTATTTCTCGCTCCCGTGATATGTCCGGACTGGAGTGTTCAGTAGTAACGCGCCAATAAGAATAAAGCTAATTCATTTCTTTTTCCCGGAAAACATTCCATTTCTCATTTTACACACCAGATGGCAGTACCAGGATATTTTAAGGTAATTGTAGATAGTTATTTTATTTTAAACTAGATGTCAGCATTAATCAAATAGCTCTAATAAAAAATAGGCACTTTTATGACCGTTTTCTTAAAAATTAACCGATCGTTAAGGGGTTAACAATGGTCCACCAATTCTTAACCTTTAGAATTCCAAAATCTCTATCAACTGCTTCTACCCATTATGTAGTGAGTCGCCCTATTCTTAGTTACTGCGGATTTGCCAAGACTTCTCTAGTGGGTTTAAATCATTTTTTCTAAAGCTCAGTGTAGTCTATTGTTCGGGATAAATTTTATGATTATCTGCGTCCTAAAAGCATTACTAGTCCTAATTTTATGTCAAAATTGAAGAAATAACTCTCTTTTGGGGGATTAATCAGATTTTTTTTTTCAATACTTTTGACACCATGATAAAAATATCTTTCTGACTGATCGTTTTTTTAGTGTGATGAAGTTTTTCGTCTTGTCTTTTTCCTTCGAGGAAGAAATAAAAACAGAAATTTTGTGTTGCCGTTCTTGCATCACTATCAGATTACGCAAACAAAAAGGGGGTTTATAAAGCAGTTTACTGATTCAAAAAATTAGTCTAAATTAAAATAGTTAGAATTATTAGATCCACTTTCTAATAAATTGGTAATAAAATAATTTGAATACAACTTCTTTTTTCGTTCTCAAAATGTTACTTACCTGGTTCTTCCACTAAGTTTTTCAATTAATATAGCTAAAACAATTTCTTTTTTTTTATATAATATTATATGTTGTAATAGATAAAATGCATTTAGAATTACTTTGATTGATGCTATTGCTCGAGGCCAATTCACGATAGTTAAAATTTACCACTATTAAGTGATTTTCTCAGGTACATGTCCCTTTCGTGGCGCCGTAAAAGTATTGATTAAGTAAGTAATCAGTACCGATGTATCGGTATTAAAACTGCTTAGTATAGGTGCAGTTTTAATAATCACCAAATATATCAGTATAATATTTTATACCAATATTAGTATGTTTGGTACTTATTACATAACCCTTCAATATTTGAGTTTATACATATTTATCAGTGGCAACCAACTAAAACTGAATTTTTAAAATATATATTAGAACTTCACAAGGATTTTGGAGCTTGACCATTTATCTATCTGACTTTTAATTTACTGTTAAGATATTTATAAGAAGTGGTGGAAAAAGTTTCTTGTAATTCTAATTCTTTAACACTATCTTAGCTGCAACTGAAAAAAATATTTTCTGAAACAACTGAAAACCCGTTGTAGAATTCTTATCAAAAGCAATTCGCCAATTACCATAATACCAGTAGTACATATTACTGTCAGTGATAAATATGAATTAAGCGTCATCTGTGAATGACGAATGGTCATAACTTTCGGTCGGATGATTTAGGAGTCTATTAAGAACACACGCACACAGACATTCATTTTTATACAAATAGATTACCACTTTATCAGGCCATTAACATCAATATTAAAAATACATTAATCAATGGAAACGTTTTGTCCAGGAGGAAAGTTACCACTTGATCCCATAGGATTAGTTTTCTGTATGCTTTGGGGCATGTCACGTGATGGTTGGAACAGACAGGAGTTCGTTATCATTGTAAAATACGATTTTTGAAGATCAAGAAATATCCTTGTTGACTACGTTACGTTTACTAACAAATAACGTGCTGCAAACATTGAGAAATGTGGAACCAAAAGCAAGCAGACTAAGGTAGAAAAATGTAACCTGACTCCCGAGATAGTCAAAACCAATGCCAGCTAAAACGCATCCGAGACCAGCTCCTGAAAAAGAATTTATTTTTGTAACAGCTTAATATTTAATACTATTTTCCAAACAAGGCAATTAAATATCTATACATTTTTTTGTGAATAGGTAGAAAACTTTGAAATACTTTAACTAGAAATTTTTATATCTAGCCCTTAAGGTACCTGGACAACTACACCTAGAACTAAACAAATTGTGAAAAAAAAACATATGTTTAATTATATTAGAATCAAATCCGCTGAGCTCTTGAATTTATTTGACCTTAGAAACCAAAAGAAGACACAATATGAACTTCGAGACAAACAATTTATAAACTTGAATCATTCTTCAGCTTCTGATTCCTTTCTAAATATCATGCACCAGCCTTAATCAATGGCAATTCATTAAATTTCGGAAATATATTTTTTCCTCTCTTAAATATAAAAATTTGCACATTTTTTCCTTCATTTTTGAAGAAGATCAATTTGATTAAAATCTATTTAGAATGGTTTTCATGTAACACCCTGCATATGTTTTACAATCTATATACGCAATGAAGTCAAAATTAATGTTTAAGTGAGAAAAACGTAAAGACGTACCAGACTCTGAAGAATCAATATTAAAAGTATTAAAATCTTTATGAACTTGTTTGTTTGAAAATGAAGTTGAGAAGCATTCCAGTCCCACTGGACTATTAAACTGGCTTTCGAGGATTTTAATCGATGCTTTGCTCTAATTGACTGCAAGGTCTGATAATTCTCAAACTCTGATAATATTTTTTCTCACTTAAATATTAACAAGCGACTTGTAATGTCAAATTGTTTTTATTCCAGTTTTTTCAATAAAATTCTGAAATATATACAAAGGGTGGTCAATACGGAACATCCGATCATAAATCCACAGAGTGAACCAAAAGTATAAAGTGTTTTTGCAAAAAAATATCGAAATTTGAAAACATTTTGCAAGATATTGTCCTTAGCTTATAAATCACCAAGTTAAAATATATTTTTCAATTTAAATCCAAAAATTTTATTTATTTTAAAGTATAAACGATTTATCTTCGAAAAAAAGTTTTATCACAAAGTTTAGGAATATAAATCATATATGTTAAATGAAATATAAACGGTTCCCTTATGCCGTAGTTTTAATTGCTTAACAAAGTTTGTACTACAAACAATAAATTTTTATACAGCTTTCATATTTTTATTGGAACAGAATCTTCCTTAATTTTTACCGTCCAAATCATATTTTAACTGCTTATTGGATAATTAGTAAAAGTTTTGCCTAAACCATAAACATAAGGGTATTAAAATTTTGAATGCACCTAAATCTGTTCTTTTATTTCATAATTAAAACAACTACATAGTTGCTGACGCTCGTTCAAAAGATTTCGAGAAGAAAATTTCCCAAATAAAAAGAATTGGAGCCACGTGTAAAATGAAATTGTGATATCAAATAAAAAAACTTTAAATATTTTAATTCTCTGAATTCACAAATTTTCATTTATTTTGAAGCTAAGGTTTTTTAAGTGGTTCTCTACGATTTTTCAAAGCAAATTGTTTTCTAAAATGAATTTAAAAGGAAATTGCAAAAAGTGCATGTTCTTTTCGAGCAAAATTAAGGCAGACGTCTTTACAGACTATCACAAGAACACAGGTTCGATTCTCTTCTTCTTTCATCCTGAACTATACCAGAATCGAAGCTTCAGTAGTAATAACTATTTACTACTTGAAAATTATATATGCACGTGTTACCGAGCTTTACTGTCGTTACATGCAATCACCAGCACTGTGTACAATTCTTAGCCAGTTATGTGAAAGTCTTAAAATGGACGATATTCATCGATACACTTATTACTTGAATTAAAGAAATCTGTCACATCTGGCAACTCTTTTGCAAACATTCATGATAAGAATGGTTTCTGAATACGCCTAAGTATAGAAATTTTCTAACATTATTTTCCTTTGTACTACTGACATTTCGCATCTCATGCAAGCATTAAATAAAAATTAAAAATAAAAGCTCTTAAATGTAACGGAACAAGACACTAAATTTTATGCACACTTGGAAATCATATTTTGACAGTCACATTATTTTTCAATCTATATTTTAGGTAGTTGTCTGAAAAATTAGTTTAAATATTTTATTTTGAAAGGGTATCAACCCTGTTCGTAAAATCATCTTTTCATCATCTCTGTTTCCGGTTTATTTTTACTTACCTAAACCTTCATGAGTTGTATAAATAATAGACAGAGTTGTGGCTTCTGTCCCAGGCTTGGAACTAAGTTTTCCAAAGGAAACTGCAGCAGAATAAAAAAGTCCATACGTTATGCCATGAGTAATTTCTATTGGTAGCACCAACCATGGGTTTTTAAGGTAGCTGTACCATAAAAATCTGACAGCATATGCCATAAGAGACAAAGACACTATATTGAAGTGTCCCACTTTTTCTATAACCCATCCTGAGAAGAACATAAAAGGTATTTCACCAGCAAAGCTCTGCACATAAGGAACCAGGCCACAGAGAAATGTACTAGCACCCAATGAGGATATGAACCAAAGCAGATAATACCATATTACACCACAACCTACGCCAGTTATAAAAGATCCGGCATTGAACGCAAGAAAAGTACTAGATTTAAGAACTGTGCCTACATCTTTTGTTAAGTTTTGAGAAAATTGAGGTACAACGACATCCATTTTGTATAAATTCCATATAACCAAGATTTGCATAACTGCCATTAGGATCCACGTTGAGAAAAATCCATTTGTGAGGTCACATAAAAGTCCTCCTAAGGGAGCAAAAATACCCCAACTTATAGCAGAATATATTCTTTGTCGACCAAAATCTCTATTAAACTTTTGCACACTTTCGCAACAAATTGTGTCAGACAATGTAAATGCTGAACTGGAGCAAGTTCCCGCTATAATCATAATGCATGTATATAACCAAAATTGGTACGTTTTGTAGCTGTTTATATTTAGATATTTTTCTATGCTTTTCGATTCATCTAAAAAAGTAGCAGTACAAGGTTTTGAAGCAGTAACACTATCATTAAAAATATCTGGATTCAAAGAATGTAAATAAAAAAAGTTCTTTATCGTTTTCATTTCTGTTTCATATTGTTCTAATTGCATGGAATACATTGAGCAACAGAAAGTTAACCGAGTCTCCAACAATTCTCCCTCTTTTGTGTTATTCCCTAACTCAAAACACAATGTTTCATCAGTAAGATTTGACTTAGTAACACAGATTATTTCTGATCGTTTTTGCGTGACATTTTCCCCATTTTTATAACTTTCTCTTTCGACTTTTGTCATCGACAATAAGTTGGAGTTATTAGAAGACCTATTACAAGCCTTGCCTGTAGAAAATGAAATAATATAAAGTTCTGTGCCATTTCTGATTTCTTCAAAAAGGTTTAACAGAGTTGAGTTTTGGTCCAACTTTGTTAACGCATCAATTTTTGGAATAACAAGAAGCGATAAGAAGCACAGGCAATGCACGATGATTAGAAGACTTATCATTATTTTTACTCTCTTAAAATAGTCTGCTATGTAGCCTAAGGCTGTTTTAGACAAAATTGTTATGAACAGCTGAGAAGAATAAACTGTTGCATAAGAAGTTGCAGAAATCCCGATTCCATCCTTTGCGATGAGAGGCTCATAAGGCATCATAGTTCCCATGGCTGTAAATAAAAAAAGAATTACCTAGGTTAGAAGCAAAGCGCATTTTTTAATATGCGAAGCATTTCAATGTCAATTTATTAATTGAGATTAAATGCATGTTAGTAAGTGTTGAAATTTAAAAATAACGCTTAGCACATAAAGATGTCAAGTTTTTTTACTCTTGAATTCAAACTAAGTAATGGAGAACTTTGTGGTTTGCATATAATCAACCCAAAATTATGCTCCTGCTCCTGGCTTTGGACGGCTCATATCATATATTTTTAGTGCCCTTGTCAGAAAAAAAAAATCGAAGTAACTTTGTATATGGAAGACAAGGAATCAATGCTAAAAATTGCGGGAAAAAAAAGAGTTTCCAAATTTGACCAATCAGTTCTGAGGAGGGAAAAACAAAGAAGCCTTCATAACCTTCGCGAGATCCCTCTTCCATTTTCTACTAATATTTCCATTTCTTTTACAGTAAATCTTCCTATTATGTATTTGCAATAGTTTTATATTTTTTTTATTATTCCTTGAAGAACCAGCACATCTTCAAAAAAATATTTCAAAAGTAAAAGATTTGACTTTGCGTAACGCCGGCAATGGACCTCACTTCGTTATTCGCTTCAGAAAATTTTTTTTAAATTTATTATCCGTCTATTTTGTTTTATTATTTCCTTGCTGATACATGTAGTAATATTTCGTAGAATTTAATTAAAACTGCTGCTACTAACACACATTTGAAGAAACAGTTTTTTTTTTTCGGCGAGGGTGAATGTGAAAAGGAAATTGTAGTGGGTTTATTAGGGATCAACAAAGTATTAATGGACTTCGCTGATGTAAATTAAAAGATAAATAACTCTAGCAACGCAGGTTATTTAATCTTAAACAAGTCTCAGATAATTTTGGCACAGGTTTGAAAATTTTCGGCAAAATTTTTCGAACTTTTCAAACCAAAATTTTACATTATTTTAAAGAATGTAATTTTACATGGAAAAATAAAAAATTTACTAAAAGTTCATTTTTGCATGAAATTATCGTAAAATTAATTAATTTAATAATTATGCGCAAATTTTTCCGTTCGCTTAAAAAGTTCTTGAGATAAAGCGCAAAAAGTAAACTTAATATTAGCGGGTCCAAACTATCAATCACTTTCTTAACCAAACTGTTAGGACTATATTTCCCACATAGACGCTATTCCCTATATTTTGAAAGTCAGAAATCGATTTTACACGATTTTAGTTGGATAAAAATGATTTGCAAATAGCATCCAGTTGTTTCGGATACATTCTAAAAATTATTTTCGCAAATTCACCATAAAATGTCGCACAATATGTTCTTCAATTACGATAAGCTACATTTATCAACAAATACAGCTGCAATAGATTTGTTTATTTTATTACATATATCTGATACGATACTCTCCTTTTAAACCGAGTTTGTAAGTTCCTTATGATACTGAAATGGTAACTCAAAAACTTAAAAGATAAACTACATTAACTCAAAATATCTGGTCTCAAAATTTTAATTTTGAAGTTAAAGATGACTTCATAGTTACAATGTTGATGCTACGATTCTCTCACTTTTTTAAAGACCACATGAATCCTGTTGCAATATTAAAATACGTATATTTACTTTTACGAGCATAAACTCCGTATCAAAATAATGATCAAAACCCAAATGTAGTCAAGATCAAAGAATATAATTAATGATGAAACCTTCACAGGTTTCAGAAAATATAAAGAGAGAAATAAAATTCGACATGCTTCGAGCGTTCAAACATAAGCGCCTAGTCTCAAGACTCGTCAGGCGTGAATAACTTGTGACGTTAAGTCACATGGAAAATCTGTGAAGAGTGTATACAAAATTTTGAAGTTCCTTCTACCTTCTGTATAAATTTTGTTCATAAATTCTTTTTCATAAAATAGTTATAGCCATTTGTTATCGCTATATTCATTTTGAACTACCCTGTATACTTATCTTTATTGCACAACTAAAGAAGCATCTATGTGTTTCACCAGTGAACTTTTATTTTAATAGACACTGTACGGCAACGAGAAAGAAAACTTACTCTTGCCAACTTTTAATCGATGTAAACAAAAACTATCCACTGAAGAAATCCAAATTGCGCCAAAGTTAGTGTTTTCGGCAACGAATATAATTCAGTGCGTCTGATTTTCATGAAAACTTTCTCATTTACTGGAGTTTAGATTTAACTATACTTTTCACATTGTGTATGAACGCTAGGTTGAGTATTAAAATGAAATAACACTTAATTTTTCGATCAAATTCGGATAAATACTACACCACAATTCTTACAGTGTACAGTTCCTCCTGTAGTTATAAATTCTAAGAAAAATGTGTCTTACCTCCATAAAACAAAAAGAAATGTACTTTAAATCGAATCATTTCTCTATCAACATGAAAAAAACTTTTCAGTTTTCTGCCTTTTTCTTCTTTGCAGGAAGGTACAGATTTTGAAAGTTTTTTTCCATTTTCCTGCTCCATTCTTAAAGAAAAAAAATCCATTTTTAATTGCTATTATCTTATATTTACTATTTGATGTAAACTTTTACTTTCCTTTTTGCCATTTACGCTTTATAAAATGATCTAGATAAACATTTAAATTAACCGAATTCCTATTTATAGATAAGAAAATAAAAAAATACGTCATAGAGCCACCATCATGCAACTGGTCACGAAATTATGGAGCCTTAACTTCTAAGTACATTGATTTCTCAGGAAAAATTTATTTCATTCATTAAAAATTATAAAATACTTTTCAATTCTTATTTCCATGAAACTTACACATTAATGGCTTCAATAATGGTTTGGTGTTTTCTTACAATCATCGGACACGGATAAGATTTAAAATTATTTTTAAGGAAGCAAACGCTTTAAAAGTGATTTTCAAAACCACTTTTCACAGAATTTAAAAAGAATCTATCTTTATTTCATAAAATATCTACCTTACCCAGATTTTCATTTTCTTTATTAGCTCGAACTATTTAAAGCTCTTTTCTCTCTATTAATTCCTCAGTAATTCAAGCGAAATAGGGTTTTTAAATTTGAAGTAAATAAATTTTCAGGTTTGCATTTTAAAAAAGTTGCATTTCTCCGAAAATCTACAATAAAAAGTAATATTGATGATTTCAGTAACAGAAAATTAGAAACTATATTGTGACATTAGAAATTTAGAAGAACCAATAAAGACGTAAATAGAAATCAAAGCAATGAGACATAAGAAAAAGTAATAAGAATCATAATTTAAATAAATACACTATAAAAAAATTAGGCTTATAATTGCCGCCATTTTTTGTGCTGAGGTACACCGAATACACTTTTGAGCACAGAACTAGAGTCATTCTGCGAAAATTTACATAAATTGGACTAATAGAAATAGTTTGAAAGAATTAGTTCTGATATATTGCTAAAAATATGCTTGTTTTGCAAACGAAAAGTTTTTGAAACAAAGCCATAAATTGATTCTAACGCGCATGACAATATGTACTACCAACAAACAAACAAGCAAAATATGATCAGGTAAATAAATGAAACTATAACAGTGAAAAAGTAAATAAAAAATGTGGCTCAATGCACTCTAAAGAGTTTTAATTTGTTCAACACCAAAAATGGTGACAACTATACAACAAAATTTTTACACTGTAGGATTGAAGTAAAAAGTAAGAAAAAGTTCCGTTTAGATATAATATTGTCTTACCGACACAAGAGAAATTTCGGCTAGGAGACGTAAACAGAAATGAGAAAGAAAATCGGTAGTAAAAATATTTTATTTCTATTTTACTTTTGAGAGAAATAAAAAATTAAAAAAAACAGTCCTACTCTCGTATACATTTTATATCGCAGTTAATGTGTCATGGTAGTCACGGGTCTCTTCTTTTTCATAAAAACACGCTAGATGTGAGATAGATTTTACTACCAGTTTTGACTCCAGTGAAAGTTTATCTCGGGACGGTAAGTTAATATCTTTTTAACGAGTCAGAACCCTCATAAAAGTATTAAAAAAATTTCTCAAGTTACTTTTGATCACGGGTATTTACTTTTATCTCGCCTGCTGCATTGGAAAAAAGAAATTTTCGATCAACTGATACGGCTTGAAATAGAATAAAATAAAGCATTTACCTTTTTTTAATCAGAACAGCATTTCATTGAAAAAATACTTAATTTTACTAAACTTTTAAGAAACTAAACTTCGAATTTAACTTTTAAAAAAAATTATTGCTTATTTGAGGGAAACAGGTAAAAAAATAACCAAACTACAGTGTTCTGTTCTTCTTTACACTAATATTCCTCTGTTACATTGTCTTTGTGTTGTCTAAATTATACCTTTAATCGGTTTGTTTTTGTTTATACATTTCTTATTCAGAATTAAACAGAAAATTAATGCAAAATTTGTGCCAAATCATCATTTATTTTCCTTTTACATATTTTAAAGTAGGCTTTAAAAACATTATTCAGCACATTAGACACCGATAGAAATTTTATCTAAACTTCTATTACAATTAAATGAAATTTTATAAAACCTTATTTTTAAGAAAACACGGATATAAAATTTTAGATCAATCATTCTGTTTTTGTTGTTTGGAAAGTTCAGAGCAAATGCAAAAAGAAAAAAAAGTAAAGAAGGAAAAAAAATAAATACTTAAAATTATAAGATTCCATCAGAACTAACATACCCTGTTGAACTCTAGGAGAAAAGAAAATTTGTTTCATTGTTTTTAATACATTTTTGCTCTCAACTATTGTATGCATATTGACTCTGGTTAAAATTAAGAGCACTAGTCTAAAAAAATCAAACGAATTTCATGTGAAAGGGTAATATTTTAATTTTTTTCAAAGCATTGAAAATTTTAGTTTTATTAAACACACATAACATTATATTATTTTAATGTCATATATTTAATTAACTAGTGATTTTTTAAAAATTTCATTAAAAATTTTGGAGGTAACTTTAAGATAAACAGTTTTGTAAAATTTTGTATTTACTTCTTTCTTTTT